ACAAACTGGCTAAATGAAATGAAATTTTATTATATTTAAAAACAATAATAATAAATAAAAGAAAAATAACAAAAAAGAAAAGAAAAAAGAAGAAAAACTAATTTTTATTAAAATAAAAATAAATAAATTAGTTAAATTAATTAATACAAAAAACAATAATAAAAAAGAAAATAAAACTGAATAAAAAAAGAAAAGAAAAATAAAATAAAAAAAAAACTCAATCAAAACTAAACAAAATAAAATAAAAAGTAAATAGTAATAATACAATAAAACAAAATAAATAGCAGAATATAAAAAATAATAAGAATAAATAAAACAAAAACAAAAAGGAAATACAAATAAAATTTAATTAAACTTAATTAAAAATAAATAAAAGAGTAAATAGTAAAATGAAATAAAATGTAAATAATAATACAATACTAAATAAAAAATAAATTAAAAAATAAAATGAAAAACAAAAACAATAAATAAAATAACAAAACATAAAATAAAAAGGAAAAATAAAATTTAATAAAATTAAACTTAATTAAAAATAAATAAATAAAATGTAAACAATAATAATAAAATAATATTATAAAAAATAAAATTAAATAAATAGATTAAATTAAAATCAATAACAATAAATAAAAGAAAATAATAAAGGAAAAGAAAAGAAAAATAAAATAAAATAAGATAAAAAAATTATTGAACTAAATTAAACAAATTAAATTTAAAAATATATAATTGAATAATTGAAAAAATAAATTAAATTAAATTAAAAATAAATACATAAAATTAAAAACAATAGCAAAAAATAACAAAAATAATAAAATAAAATAATACAAAAAATTATTAAATTAAATTTTATTTAATTTAAAAATAAATTAATTAAATGTAAAAAATAGTCATAAAATTATAATAACAACAGTTGTTAGTTGGAACAATGCTTTATAGAAATATTAACATCTCTCTTTAAAGTGATTACGTTATGCACCCTGATACATAACACAATGCAAATAAAACATAATTACAACATTTCCCAATATGATCTAATAATGTATGTAATATAGCATAACACACAACACGTACAAAAAACATGATACTGCACCTGACGACGAGACTACAAAATATGTCCAGTAATATCCATAAAGCAGAGAAATCCTGTATTCAGTCCCATCGCTCAGCCAAATGTGTCTTTAATGTCCTCTTACAATTCACCCCCACACACTGCTGCTTCCACACTACACACAAACAGCACATGATAATCCAACTCTCAGAGAGAAAACTCTGCTCTGACAGCTCTGTCCTCCGCCTTCATCACACTGCACGAGTCTGACTGTGTGTGTGTGTGTGTGTGACTGTGTGTGTATGAGTGTGTGTGTTGGGAATGTGCGAGTCAGTGGCCAACATTCCTGCCTGCCTCTTACTTCCTGTGGAGTCGAGAGGAGGGTCTGACCTCTGCCCAAAAACAGCTCGACCTCACAGCCTGATCCCAGACCTGTGCTCATCACAAGGAGCAACACACACACACACACACACACACGCATATGCATATACACATACGTACTGTATATACACATTTGCACATACATGCAAACACATTCAGGTGGAGCATCCCACACACACACACACACACACACACACACACACACACACACACACACACACACACACACACACACACACACACACACACACACATACAGTACAAACATACACACATACACACGCACACACATGCACACATCCCTCACACAATCACCCTTACACATAAACATGCACACACTCAGATGATGTAACACACACACACACACACACACACACACACACACACACACACACACACACATGTACGTATACGTGTGTATTTACAGCGGTGTTTTCAGTTGTGTGGGGATCGGCATGCAAAGTTGTGGCTGAACAACAAACCAGACATGTTGAAGCACGCAGGTTAACAGCTCATATCGTCTGAGACTGTCGACTGCCAGATTATATTCTCATGCATTTCACTGAAGGGAGGAACGGGGCAGCTTTTCAAAAGCACATTTAAAGCATGTGCAGAACAAGCTAAATATTAGAAATAAATGAAATGAAAAAGAGCATCTTACTGAAACTAGGCGTGGCTGTGCACATGACTGCTTTAATTTCTGTTATGTTTTTAGGTTTTGCATGAAAAATAAATGAAAAATAGAACAAATAAATTCAAATAAAAAAATATTAGGTAAAATTAAAAACAATAATAAAAAACAACAAAATACAATTAATACATTTAATTAGCAAAAATAAAATAAACAAATAAATGAATAGATAACATTTAAAACAATAATAAAATAAGATTAAAACAACAATAAATAAATTAAATAAAAAATAATAAAACGAAAAATAAAAGTAATACATTAAATTAGATAAAAAATAAATAGACAAAATTTTATAAAATACAATAAAAATGCAATAAAATAAAAGAAAAATTAAATGAATAAGTTAAATTGATAAAACATGAATAGATTAAATAAAAAACAATAATAATAAATAAAATAAAATGAATAAATTAAATTAATGAAAAAATAAATAAACAAATATATAAATAAATAGATAAATAGATAAACATAAAACAATAATAAAAACTTAAAAACTTATAAAATGAATAAATTAAATGAATGAATGAATGAATAAATAAATAGATAACATTTAAAAAAATAAAAAAAATAAAATAAAATGAATAAATTAAAAACTAAATTGCGAAAATTAAAAACAATAATAATAACGAAAATAAAAAATAAATTAATAATTAAAAAATAGATAAAATTTAAAACAATAATGAAATAAATTAAAATAAAAATAATAATAAAACAAAAAATAAAAATAATAATTTCAATTATTAAAATTTTTTATAAATAAACAGATACAATTTAAAACAATAATAAAGTACAATTAAATAAATATTTTAATAAAATGAATAATAAAATGAATAAATTAAATTTATTAAAATAAATAAATGGAAAAATTGCATAAGATAAAATGAACAATAAAATGAATAAATTCAATAAAAAAAAAATAAATAAAAAAAAAAATATATATATATATATATATATATATATATATATATATATATATATATATATATATATATATATATATATATATATATATATATCCTGAATAGTTACAAAAAAATGTAAAGATCAGACCAGCAGTTTTGTCATTTTGTCATGCAAAATTATGTATTTTTGAAAAGATGCACATGTGCAAGTCACCTGAATGAATACCTCTTACACAAGCACACAATATCTCTATTTTCACAAATGATTTTTGTAGTTTGCGCTGACACAGTGTCCAGTGTAATATCCTGCCCTGTCTTTGTGTTTGAGATTACATCAAATTTCGAATAAAAAAATGCACATTTCAAAGCACTTTCTTGAAACCTTTAAAAGAACTTCATGGAATCATCATTTCCAATAAACAACATCGTCGAGGCTGGTCCAAAGCAGCCGTCAAAGCGTTTCAGATAGACTGAGAATAAAGGTGATGCAATAATGTACAATATATAGAAATAATGCATTTTGTGAACAATGACACTTAACCTACTCCAGCACATACAATAAACAAAAACAGAGACCTTTAAAAATAGCTTATACGGTCTCTTTAAGAAAACAATGGAGTTAGTGAAGGATCAGGTTTGTAACAACAGAAACTATTGTTGACAGTTAAGCCTGCAATAATTATTTCAAGTGCTCAGACGTGTTGCATAAGTGCTGGCATGAGTGCCAGGTGGTACCGGTGCTGCCATTTTAAAATGCCACCTCAAACTCAACCCTGACTTCTGCCAGCTCTCTGCACACCATTACGCTTTTAGTAATGTTGGAAATCTACTAGCCAAAGTGGCTGGTGAACAAAAAAGTGAAAGTCAAGCCCCGTATGTACAGTATATTATAAAGGCAGCTGTACTGTTTTAGTGTATAAAAAGCCTAAGCAGGGACTAAGACTGCAAATTACCCATTGGATAGAAGCCCATATGTGGAGTATTAGCTGCTATAGCTATGTTATACAGCTTGTGCCTTTTACATGCTATGAAAGCTATGAAAAAGTGAAAATAGTTACAGCAAAAAATAAATAAATAAATAAATAAATAAATAAATAAATAAATAAATAAATAAAATGAATGATTGAATGAATAAATAAATAAATAAATAATAAAATAAATAAATAAATAAATAAATGAATAAATAAATAAATAAGTAAATAAATAAATAAATAAATAAATAAATAAATAAATAAATAAATAAATAAATAAATATAAACACATACACACAGGACAGGCTGTGCAACTTCACAATACGACAAATGGCCAATTGTGAGCACTTTCAAGGCGTCGTTTAGGAAGTGCATCACTGTCCTGTTGGTTTTGATTGACAGGAGTCACAGTCTATTACAGAAACATCACATCACAGCTCTGTCAGTGAAGCCATATGAGACGGCAAGAGAAGGACAGACCTGCTTCTATCATTGCCATGGTGATAAAATAATATTCATTCATTCATTCATTCATTCATTCATTCATTCATTCATTTTCTTGATGGCTTAGTCCTTTTATTAATCTGGGGAATGAACCGCCAACTTATCCAGCAAGTTTTTACGCAGCGGATGCCCTTCCAGCCGCAATCCATCTCTGGGAAACATCCACACACACATTCACACACACACTCATACACTACGGACAATTTAGCCTACCCAATTCACCTGTACCGCATGTCTTTGGACTATGGGGGAAACCGGAGAACCCGGAGGAAACCCACGCGAACGCAGGGAGAACATGCAAACTTCACACAGAAACACCAACTGAGCCGAGGTTCGAATCAGCGACCCAGCGACCTTCTTTAAAATGTAAAATTTTCCTACAAATGTATGGGCCGCCCATAGACAACAATGACAGAAGAAGACAACAATTTATATAATGTCAATATAAATGACAGGTGCATATTAGGTGTGTTTTCTAACGAGAAGTGAATGTGCAACAGGCATACCTGGAGCGTGGCAAGAACATGGACTCTTTGATGAAAACCGATCCGGAAAGTAGAATGTACCAGCATGTGCCAATGTCATCTGGACTGTAAGAGAAGAAGACAAAGAAAAAACGTCAGTTCAACAGGAAACAAACATGCTTATCAGATTAGATTAGATTCAACTTTATTGGCATTACACATGTACAAGTACAATGCAATGAAATGTAGTTTAGGTCTAACCAGCAGTGCAATAGCAGCAAGTGCAGGATATAAGTTATAAAGTGCAGTTATAGAGAAACTATGGTGATATTTATAGATGAAATTACTATCAGCATTATATACAGGTTGTATTAGCTATGAACAGATTTACAATAGATGAATATATGTACAGGTTGCTATTAATAATCAGAAGTGTGTAGATAGATAAACACAATTACAAATGTAAATGTACAGTGGGTGTGTACGTAATTACAAATGTCCATGTGCAGCAGTTCAAATAAGTAAAGCAGTGCAATGTAGTGCAATGAATATGTGCAAATTTTTAATGTGCAAATGTTAAACAGTGCAGTGATTGTGAGGAGTTTAAGTTAGAGGAGAGTGGGGGATGTATTTGGGGGGCAAAAGAGTCAGTGAGGGCCTGCCGGAAGGCAAGAGAGAGCCCAGTCTGTGAGCAGGGTGAGAGGTGTCCCTAAGAATACAGCGTGCTCGGCGCAGACAGTGTTTCTTATGGATGTCCTCAATGGCTGGCGGTGTGGTCGCTGTGATGCGTTGGGCAGTTTTCACCACCCGCTGCAGTGCCTTACGCTCAGCAACAGAGCAGCTTCCATACCAGACTGTGGTACTACTTTTATATTTTACAACAAAGTGATTTTTACCAAGTATGATACGATTAAGGGTGCTTTCACACCTGTGAATCGATTCAGTTGTTCTGAAACAGAGATTACAAATGTGACATTGTTGCTCTTTGCTCTTGGAGCGGTTCGCTTTCACACTGCAAAGTTTCTAATTGGACCAAAAGAGCTAAAACAAGTCACGTGTGAGTAAACTCTCCTTACATTAGTCAGAGTGTCAGGGTTTATTTTGCAGCGTCCCGCTTAACTGTCAGGAGAGGTGGTGGTTTGGTGGTGATTGACAGGGTGTGCGCGCACGACGTGTCTGAGGAGAGATGCGGTGGGGAGGGGTGAGAAGGGTGGACCGGGAGGGACCGGGAGGACCAGGAGGGAGACGCGAGATTACCGGGAGATCATCACTTGCAAACGAGATACGTTCCAAAACAAAAGTGTAGGTGTGAAAGCACCCTAAGATCCTGAATTAGTTTATTACACTTAATCCTACAATTAGACGGTCTATTATGTTTTCTTTATGTGGACACATGAATAAAGTCATAAATGTCTTTACCAATTATTTTTATTTATCTAATTTGAGTTCAGAAACTGCAGAGATGTTAAAATGATCGTTACGATATAATAATAATGATGACTGAAATGGAAAACCATATTTGTGAAAGTCAATAGGTGGCGATAATGCTAAGGAGTTAGTTAGTTACCATATATGGTTTGCCTAAATTGTGTGTGTTAGATTGTGTTTGCCTAAAACAGGTGTGGTTCTGCGGTTCTGCAGCTGGATATATCTGGATTGTGGTATTTTTTATTATCCTTTATTTATGTAATGATCATACTATTATAAACAGGTATTATGTTTTTTTCTCATCTAATTAAACCTAATTTAAGCAAAAAAAAAAAAAAATGGCAGATAATCTCAGCAGATATTCCTATTCTTATTGGCTGTTGTCATTTTCCTCACTCGTCTTTCTTGCTGTTAGTATTTACAGCATATTTAGCTTTCTTCTCTGAGGCTCTAGGATTCACAGTTAGTATTTTAATAAAAGTTTTTAAAAAGTGTTTATATTTTGATTCACTGCTGATTAACCAATCAGAGTGCTTTCTTCAGCCAATGGTTTTATGTTGATTTGACATGCTGAATGTGGCCAGTGAGCTCCAACGTTAAACTGATGAGTATCAACAACAAACGCTGAGCGATGACTCCCAACATCCGACCATCAGCTTATGTCCCAGCCTTAACACTCCATCATCATTTTTCTCCCGATACACCTCTGAGGGAATACAAAAGACCACACGAGAAGATTCCCAAAGGAAAACATTGGACGGAGCGATCAAATGGCTCACAATCTCTTTTACCAGTGACTGCTTGGTTTATGTGTGTGTGCGTAGAAAATAACACACTGACACACAACCCCCCCCTTAACACTGCTTTTTTTTCAGGTCACGGAGCAGTCAGGAACGCTAGACATCTTCCTAGGCGAGTCCTTCCCGCTCCATGTCTGCCTCTCAGTATGTGTTAAAAGTGGGAACGTGAAAAGAGGAGCAATCCGATGAGCGGCGGACATCTTGATCAGGGAGTCAGAACAGCCCATCCGCACTCCAGTGATAAAACGTGCCCAAAGCAGCGCTGGCTTCATGAGCTGATAGACAGAGCTAACGTGAAGCAAATAAGCCCGATTTCATGCTACACCGCACACTTCATTACTGCACATTTACTTGTTGTTTCATTGCATTAAATGTGTTTTGTCTGCAATGAGATTCCTTGCAGATCTTCATCTTATCACGGGGCTCACTGGAATATGCCATTCTGATTATATCCGGTTGCGTTCTGAAGTAAAAATCCTTTTCGTTTCTTGATATGGAACTGATTTTCAGTGATAACATATAAAAGATGAGCTCCTGTAACGCCATAAGACTGTCTGGTAAAGTTACGCTTTTGTATAAATGTCAGTTTGAGTTTACAACTTATCCTTTAAGGTAGTGGTTCTCAAACTTTTTTCACCAAGTACCACCTCAGAAAAAAAAAAATTCTGTCCAAGTACCACCATAATGACCAGCATTGAAATACTATAGCGTATAGGCTTAATTAAGGGTGTACTCACACTATGCCATCCGTACCGTGCCCAGGCCCGGATCGTTTGAGAAGTGTGAGTGCGCTGAATCGGGCTCAAGCACGTTTCACTTGGCCGGCCCTGGCCCGGTTGGACGAGGTGTGCCTAAGCGCAGTTCACTTAGGCTTTGGCGCGGTACGCTTGTAGTGTGAGTGCAAAACGCGCCAAAGCCCGAAACTGAAAGCGAGACGTGACTTTTAAGGGGCTGTTTCATGTGGATTTATTAATCATTCTTACTGTTCAGTGAACGCAAACTGCCGTAGCTTATTAAATACGCAAACCCCTCACTGCACGACAGCTGCGCCTTCAGCAGACCTCCTCATTCCTGCAGCACCAGGACTTTATGATTGTTTATGAGCGCCAAAAGTGGCGGATCTGTTCTGCGAAATATCTGACTGCGTGTCATCGCATCCCTAAGGACTGTTTGGCGAAATATTCGACTGCATGTCACTGCATATCAAGCCGACTGAAACAATATAACTAGAGAAATCTCCACTGTGCTGCTGAGTGAGAGAGCGCTTCTCACTGAACAGCGCAGCAGCGATGATGTAAGCATGCCCAGGCCCAATTGTGGTGTGAGTGCGGGCCGTCGGGGGAGACGGGAGGGGGGACAAGCGTGCTTTGGCCCGGTTCGAGGCAACTGTACCAAGTATAAGTACGGCCTAAGCAGCTACAGCTCTGCACAGTTCAGAAACATGGTAGATTAGTTTCTATTTTTATGAATATTTATTATTGTCAGCCACTTTTAACAATATTAATAGTTTGAACATTAACCAAAACATTAAAAATACATAAAAAATCAACGTGTGCTTTTGAAAGTTAATTAAAAATGCCACTGTTCTCAAAGTGAACAGAAAACTGCTGTGCTTAAATTTATAGTATTAACATATAGGAGCCTATTCATCAAAACCTGAAAATGTTCCTTGGACCTCATAAATATCATCATATTTATAAACTCTTTTTGAAAATTTTTAAAATTTTTACATGTACTATATATATATATATATATATATATATATATATATATATATATATATATATATATATATATATGACTTATTTGTATATCTTTGAAATCTAAACATTACTTGTATTTTAAATATATATGATATATTTACATATTTAAATTAGAAATTAGATCTGCTTACTGCGCGTTAGAGTAGGCTTTGTGTGTCAGAAAAGTGATTAAACTATAGCTTTCAACATTAGGATGTAAAAATATGGGATACACCCCCAACAACCATTACAAATATTAAAAGGAAATTAGCTTTAAATGAAAGAATATAAAACAAACATTAAAAACTTAAAAATAAATTAAAAGGTTTAGCCTATTAAAATCTATTTACTGAACAAATCTGTGTTATCATTTGCAATAAAAGTGTGTTAATTTTTTTACTTAATTATTCAGCGATTCCTCCACGTACCATTAGAAGGAAGCCTGCGTACCACTAGTGGTACATGTACCACAGTTTGAGAACCGCTGCTTTAGGGAATAATTTAGACGAACAACATTACCCATGATTCTGCACAAAAAAAAACAACCGATTAGCCCTGTCCACTCTGACATAACTGAATCACGATCACAGTTTAGATATTTTTATATTTATGAAAAATTTCCAATAAACATAAATAGTTGTTTGAATATAAATAATCGACATGTTGCAATCAACATGTTAAAAACGTTAAACTGCTTTGTTGCAGCTGAGCACTATTATTGTCATTTTTTACTATTTCTGTCTTATAGCAAACAGATAACGTTGCAATAATACACTAAAATTAAATAATAATAATTATAATAATATTTAAAAAATGTTTAAATAAAACAAGGAAATTAAGTAAACTTAATATATATATATATATATATTAAGTAAACAGGGGGGCTTATATTTCAGGGGGAATAATAATTCTGTTTTTATCTGTATATATATATATATATAATACAAGACCAGGGCAAAAACTTGTGTTGCTAAAGGAAAGAAATGAATAGCTATTTTAAAATTATGTAAGTGGATCATGAATTGTTTTTAAAAATTTTCTACAAATTTATGGGAGTGTATTTATTATCATGGTTAATAAAAAAATAGTATTAAAAAAAGAAAGAAACAAAAACGTGAATAAGAGTTCGATACTAGGAAATTATTTGTGATTTGTA